CACAAGATACACGATTTAGCGCAGGTTTTTTGATTCCAACTTGGTTTTCCTCAACTTAGAGCATTTACAGTGCATTGAGTCTAGTCTTGTCTATGTGGCATGTAAATAAACCCAAGTCTTTGATTACATGGATAAAACTATGTAAAATTAACAAAATTCACTCTAATGCAAAGAGACTAGATCTCTACTTGGGTCTAAAATAGACTTAAGGGTAGACCCGGGTCTATTTTCTGACTGCCACATCAGCAGGACTTAGTCTACTTTTATTTGCATTGGAGAATATATTTTTTTAGGCTGGGTCTATTTCTTAGGTGTCATATAATTTTTTGTGATTGAAACCAAAGCATTGTGTATGCTTTTAGAGTAAGGAAGGGAAGCCATGCATCTAATTCTAAGGTCAATCCCTCTTATGATTACTTACTAGTTTTACTCCGTGTATTTGCACGAAAAGCGATATAATAGAAAAGAAAGTAATTAAAAATATAGAATAAAATAAAAATTATAACTTAATAAATGAGAAAAAATAATTTAAAAAGGTGAATCTAAGTATTGTTAAACACTTCTTTATATACAATATTCGTGGTTTTTCTATCGTCATAATCCCCATCACAACAAATCATTATCGTCAAATCTCTTCGACTCGTGACTGAAATTAAGATTTGATTTTTCAAAATATTTGAAGTGTCTTTGTAATATCTGAAAAAATATTTTTTTTTATTATTATATGACTGCAATAGAGAATAGAGATATTTGTAGTCATTCTTAATTAGTTGTGAAATATGTAATTATATAATACCAAAAAATATATAGTATGAAAAAAAAGCAAAAATACTTTGTATTTCAGGACATAAAAAGGATTACAGAAATGGGACTTGTAAAAATAAATTGTGTAACTGAAAATTACATATTATTATTAAGTTGGAAACATATTTTTATTAAATGAACACCTATTTTTATTAAATGAACTCATAATATTATTAATTATTGGCTGAATAAAATTTATTGAAGCTTGCCAGCAATTATATATATAGATTTTACACAACTATTTTTGGCCATGTATTTTAATATATATCCAATCATAAGCTGATAAGCTAGCTTATAACTTATATGTAATTTTCGAGCTTATAGCTTATAGCTGAAAAGCTAGCCTACATGATAAAAGTGTTTGATAAAATTAACTGATAAGCTAGTTGAAATAAAAGTTACCTAAAAAAATTTATGAGATAAGTTCGAGTTTTTTAAAAAGATCGTCCAACCAAATAAGACTTATTTAAATACATGAAACTTATAGGCTAACCAAATAGGCTATAAACTAGCTTATTTGGCTACCAAACATAGTCAAAGTCAACAATAGTTTTTATGATTTTTTTTTTTTGAAAATTCAAATAAACCAACCAAGATTCACTTTACCTAACATCAGAAAATAAAACTCATTAAAATAATACAAAAAAACGTGCTTACCATTACATGGCCCCTTGCTAATACACTCCCTCCCACAAACACACTATATTACACCTCACCACACCAAATCTCCATTCTATCTCCACACACGCACAACACCTGTTAAATTTCAA